GAAGCAGCGTTTTGCCTTTGCTTTCATACTTAAGTAGCGTATGATTCATAAATCCACTCTCTTATTAATTCTCCTCAGCTTGTGTAAATGACCCTCCTGGGTGTATATAAGCTTGATAAACCGAAGACATGGATGAAGGGAGAGAGAAGAGGGGGAGAGAGTGAGGAGGGAGGGGTGGAGGCTCGAAGGCTCTTTGAGGAACAGAGTTGTTAGTGCTTTGCCCTCAGGGTGAATGAGAAGTAGCTTTGAGGGCTGTGAGGCCCAGGGTTGGCTCCCCACCTAAAGGCGTGTTTACCACCGTGTTGCGCGGCGGCTGTGCTTTTGAAGGATCAGTCTTGAACGCGCCTCTAATTAAAGCTGTCATGGCTGGGTGCCTGCAGGGATAATGTTCTATTATTATAGTCATTTGTTTCAATTAAACGCTGGGTGATTTTACAATAGCAGCCATGAACCTGTGTGAGTGAGCCATCACTCTAAACAAGATGGCTCCAGTCAAGCAGGGGGTGAAGAGAGGAAAGTCTCAGGACTCACAGAAGCATTGATCACTGTATATTCAAGGAGGACGGGATAAAGGGTGAGACTTAAAGTCTGATAGTGTCAATTAAAGAAGTGCAGCAGGTGATGTGTCTTTTAAATCTGAATACTAAAAAGATATCATGCCACATTGTGGGGGAAAGATCTCCATCATTAGCAAATACATCTTAAAGTGAGTGTACTAAAAGTGAACTGACTCAGCTCTACAGAAGGCACTTAATTAAAAAGTGTGGATTTATTTTGTCTTTTAGATGGTGATAATAAGTTGAAACATAACCACAAACTTCAGTGATTCTTTAGCATAGGGACACTGGTTTATTATAATGCCAGGGCAATAAAAGCTTGCATAGCAATCAACCCGCTTATTTAAATGATGAAACAGATGCCACTCTGGTATAATCATCATAAAGGACGGAGCAAGGTTAGCCGTTTTACTCTCCGCTGGTGTGAATCTCTCCTCTTTCTCCTTGTAGCTGTAGGGCTCTCTTTTCCCCTTCTCTCATCTCTGTGCTGGTGGTCAAATCCCCTTAGCTAAATCAAATGGTGCAGGCAATTGGAGCGGCCGTGAAACCATTTCAAAGGTAAGGTCAGCAGGAGCAGGGGAACAATGGCTTTGTGATATTCCATCTCGCACACAATGTGCTACACATAATTGGAAAGCCTTTGTTATTTGACTCCCATTTGACTATGATGTACAAGATGTGAATACAAACACGACAGGCGTAACGATGGCAGAGGAACATGTTCACACTGAGTTTCCTGGCTTTACATCACAGTTTAGGTCTGCCTGGCTGCTCATCACCAAAAAGCAATACCTAACTGTCCCCTTGCTAACTTTGTAGATGGGTTTCAGCACTTGGGTCATGTGTTTTTTTTTTGTGTGTGTGTGTCTTTTTCTCATGCTGTTTCCCTCTTTTTTTCATCTGTTATGTCTTTCTGTCCCAGACTTTGTTCCAGTGTCCCCTTTTTTCCCTCTTAATTTACCTCCCATGTTTATGAGGGACTCTGATCTCCTGGGGGTTTACAACAAACAACTAAATTGCTGGAGGTTAAGCACGGCAATGACAATGCCCAAGAGAACTCAGAATCCAACTTAATATGTAATCTAAATATCTAAATTTAGGAGCAGAAAAAAAAGTGTTGAATGAGTTGGCTGCTTCAACATATCTCAACCATCTATGAGGTCTGTGCCACGCAAAGAAGTAATTTTTGCACGTTGCATCACAGACCAAGTCCTATATCCAGGAATAAAATTAGTATTATAGGCCTATCGTCTTGTCCATGAAAAGTCAGTATGTGTTACATGCTAAACGCAGAGAGCAGTGACCAACTAAATCCTGTTATTCACCAGACACCCCCCCTCTTTTGGCCAGCTATTCGGATGATACCATTAGGAATTAGCATACAGTACCTATGGCAACCAGCAACCGGCAACCTTTGTCAGATTCTTTCATAATATTTGTACAGCCGTCTGCCGCCCGCTTTATTTAGCTCGGGTCTGATGGCGCTATGTGATAACTTCTTGGTCTTTCTTTCTCACACAGGTGAAAGCACCAACTAAAAGCACTCAGAGACAGTTTGAACAGTGACAAAGAAGTGACTATTAGAAGTAAATTATCACAGTAGGACCATTTCGAGTATGAGCACTAGTCGTCTATTCAATAAATAGGTGCTTTTAGTAACTGTAATAAGTTAATGCACATTCTTGTAGTTGACAGTAAGTTTCTTTGTGCTTTCCTTGATGTGTCTTTGCTTTTACAGTGGCTGTATACTACAGCTTCAACAAATGCAGTAGTTAATTTGTTTCTGTATTTTCTGGTGACTGAATGCTCAGCTGTAATGAAAATGTGAGTCAATGCTACGGAATATGAGAGTGAATATAAATAATAGCATACCAAATGTGTACTCGATTTAAAACAGAATCAAGAAATACACTGAATTACATTTTTGTGTTGAAAAGGAACGTAATTTGACTCATACTTGTAGTCAATCTCCACCATCTCTATGACTTTGCTCCATAAGAATAAGGTGATTTCATACATATTTTTCAATCTAACAGTTTGTGTCAAATTGAACCTTTAAAATAGGAACTTGTACATCTGTGAAGCCTAAGGTTTTTCTCTTACGAGGCCGACACCCAGTACCCGTAATGCCATGGTGCCTTCCCCGGTGAACTCTTTTGCTCTGCATGTCTCCTTCTTGTTTATATTAAACATGGTGTGGCTCAGATTAAAGGGTGACAATTTTGCCTGGAGGCTGTTGCTATGGAAACGCGTCTGCTATAGCTATGATAGCCCATTCATGTTTGATTAATTGGTTTTTCAATGCTTCTTGGTTTGTGAGGACCCTTAAAGAGCAAGTCCATGGAAAATGGAAAATTAATGGATTTCTATTTCCTTCTCTTCCCCCTTTCTTCCTCTTTTTTCGGTCTTACTACTTATTTTGCTGAAGCTATTTCCTCATGTTTTAAGAAGTGTAGTGATGGTGTTTTGAATTATGATTGGAAGTTGCCGTGGATGGGGGAGGTTAGCGCTTGGTTATTTGAAATGCAAAAGGAATGTCTTTGTTCATTGCTGCCTTTTGTGAGCAGCTGCTGAGGCAAAAACAGAATCTAATGTCGTGTGAATATTATGAGTTTTCAAAGCAAGCCAGAGCCTCGTACAACATTACTTTGTTGTGCATTTTTATTCTAGCAATCTACTGGGACCAATTATGACTAGAGAGCCGAGCCTTCATCTCTGAACCTCCACTCGTGTTTATCAAGACCTCATATGCTCGGGCCTTTTCAATTTGATCTTTTTAGCACTTCACTAATGTGTAATGTATTATTTAACTCATAAATGTTTAAAAGAGCTAACAAATGCTAGTTCATCACTTTCTGATCTGTAAATTGCCAAACATTCCCATTTATGCCTGCATTAAAAGCATCCTTTGGTCCGTGCTCATGTTCCATCCTGATGAATCTTGAAGAAAAGCTTTTGATGTAGTTATTATTGAAGATCTTTTAAGGCTGCTGAGAGCAGAACTTTGTGAGAGTCTGATTCTGTAATCACTCTGAAGGGTGTTCTGCATGTGTGGGTCATTCTCCAGCCACAAGCACCGTTTTTGTTTCTATTTCTATTTGAAAAAGGTGTAATTTTACATGGCAGTAAGTAACATTTTTCACTGTCATAGCACACAGTGTGCATAATATATCTGCAGGTTATGGAGCAATACCATTGATGCAACGATTGCTTTGCAAAGTGTGGAGATTTCTGGCCACTTAAAAGAGAAGTCTTCTCTCAACTACCAACCAGGCCACAGTGTCTCAAGGACCCTGGGGGGTTTGCATTTGTTGTTGCACTTCCTAGAAATAGAAGTCAATAGAAATTATGGATTGTACCTTTAACTGTAATAGAGAGTCCCTTCAAAAAGCATGTCAATTTTATTTAAGTGTTAATGGGCCTCTGTGTTACATGGCTGAAAGTCGAAGAAATGCAAATGATGGCTTAATAAAGTTGATTGAGTTCCCTAATGGCTCAAAACGTTGACTTGAATAAAACCTCTTTATGAAATCACAAAGTAGTGAGAGTGAACCAAAACAAAACCAAAATATGTGCTGAAAAGCTCCATAGAGCTAAGGGGAACTGCAGAGTCCGATGACAAGTATCTATGGGTTTACCACTACAAATTACCCCTTTTATATGAACGTTGTTATGATTTATTGTTTGTGTAGAAATGATTGTAGGTGCTTTAAGCTCTCAATAGCTTCTGGAAAGTATTTTGACAATAATTTTTAAATGATTTTCAAACTATTGAATCTTTAAAAGAGTATGTTTCGGTCACATTTGCGTGATTGACAGCTGTCAGTGCAGAGGCAGGAGTGCTGACTGGCTCCATCCAGCTCATTGAAAATCTAGATTTTCTAGCTCTAGTAACTGACAACCTGCAGCAAAACAAGTGGCTACAGGGAATGTCACAGGTGCAATATTCATGTTTTTATAGTCTGGTTAGTGAGTGAGCTGTCTTGGTCGGTTTGGGTTGAGAGATTATCTATTTTTTGTGAGATATTTGCTTCCAGTATTCAAAATTTACCCCTGTTTGTCAGTTACGAAAGAAGTATTGGTATGCATTAATGTTGCCACAAACCTACAAGTCTAAAAATAATACCTGTTACTGTCCCCCCAAAAAAAAGACAGTTGAGAAAGAAAAGAGAAGCTTTCTAACCACCAGCCTCAGTTTAACAGTGAGACCTGTAAGAGGGTTTTTTGTCTGTCTAGTTTCTCCCAACAGACGTATTTCCCTCATTACAATATATAAAAAAAGCAATTTCTGTCTTTCGTAGATTTTGTCCGTGCATATATTTTTCTCAAATTTGAAAATGTCATCTCCACTTCTAAGTCTTTGCATATTTGGCTAATTGGCAAACTTTTATTACTTTGAGTAGAGGAGTAGATAGTAAAGCTGGTGTTCTTCTCTCACCCCAGATGCAGGAGATGGCTTTGCACCACCACCAACAGCAACACCATCACCAGCACCCAGACGGCTCTCATTATGACCCCGCTCGTAACCACCCCCTGATAAACAGCTCACCTCCGATACTGCCCAACCCCATGAGTGCACTGACCCAGCTAAACCCTCAGGTCAGCCGGAGTGCACTGCCTCATGGTTCCCCCTCTCCTCCCGGAAGTAAATCGGCCACACCCTCCCCCTCAAGCTCCAATCAGGAAGAGGAGACTGATCCTCATTCGAAGGTACTGATGTGGCAACGCTTCTCTGGCTTGTAGTAGTGGAGTAGGAAGCGAGGGCTTGGCAGTGCTTCTCAGAGATGGTTTGCGTGCTTACTGTATTGTTGAGTTCAAAAAGGAATTTATTGGTAGCCATGCTTGTGCTTTTTATTTGGTTGGCTGGAATACTCACATGGTTGCAAAATCTTGCCGTTGAGGGGAACTGAAGCTCTGATTTCTTTCTCTTTGTGTATGTAATGGCATGGTGGAGTGTGTTGTCACATTTGAGAAGAAGATTGAGTCGAAATATGTAACTCATGATTGAATTTAAGTATAGAAACCATCTTTATTTTGTTTTAATTTTTAAAAATGTCCTTTTTTCTGTATTCTGAGCAGCACATGTCCAAAATCTGGCTCACACTTAAAAGCAACACAATCTTCCCATGGTCCTTTTGTGAAAGATAATTTCACCATTCCAATACAGTTGTGAATAGCTAACAATCCACTACCACCATGGCATGTTTGTAAGTTTGTTGGCAAACTATACACTCAAATTGAAGTAACTTCAGAAATACAGTATATGTGCTTCCAAAAGTGAAGAAACCTCCTTTATTTGCAGACGTGCAGGATGTTTTAATAATGGGTTGATCATTAGCAATGCAGATGTGTGTGATGCCTTGGTGACCCTATCTAATTTTGTCATTGGAGTTACAGTCTGGTTTGAAACTTAACACTCCTTCATTTAAATCATCTAAATGAGAAGAGAAGGACACTTGTTTACATTCATTTGGTTTATGTAAATCTGTAAAACTGCTTTCATAAATTGCCCAACAACCAATGTCTCTGTGGATTTGCTTCATTTCTGTCAGGGTAATGTGAATGAGTGTATAATTGAATCTGCCACCTCCACAGTGTTTCAGATTCATCGTTGTATTTAAATGCTAGCTCACAGTGATACAATATAACAAGAAGGGGATTCTTTAGTTAAAGAAAATATATTTCCCTGCCTATGCATCTCTGCTGTGCTTTTCACTGTGTGTGTGTGTGTGTGTGTGTGTGTGTGTGTGTGAATAAAAATGATTACCACCTCTCCTATCAGTAAGTAATTCCATTTGCTCTCTCCGATTCATTCAGTCCACATCAAAGCCAGAGCAGATACAGCAGGCGATTTAAAATTCCTTTCACCCCTAGCATGAAAAGTCAGAATTTATGACTTGCTGAACAACTGAAAAATAAAGATTTGAAAAGGTTTGATAAATTCAACTAACAGATGTTATTTTTGACAAAGTAAGGCAAAAGAAAATGCTGTCAACCAGTGCGTGTGTCAAAGTCTTACTGTCAGTGAAACATTGCTGCAATATTCAAACACTGACTACACGGCTATTGAACAGAGAAAATGAATTATGGATTTAATGAAGTTTACATGCTTCACCTGGACCCAATGTTATAAGCATTAATCAGAGATGCAATTATTCACTCCGGCTGAATTGATAGACCTAGTTTCTGCAGTGTCAATAAGCTGTTTTGTTTTTTGTGTGTTTTTGATGGTCTTTCAGATCACGGGTGAGAAGCGGCCGTCTTCAGAGATGATGAAGCCCAAGCCCAAACCCCAAAAAAAGAAGAAAAAGAAGGACCCCAATGAGCCTACAAAGCCTGTGTCAGCCTACGCCCTGTTCTTCAGAGACACCCAGGCAGCCATTAAAGGACAGAATCCCAACGCCACCTTTGGCGACGTATCCAAGATAGTAGCCTCCATGTGGGACGGACTGGGAGAGGAGCAGAAACAGGTAGATTGATACTGTGTACATATATACAGAATTTTAGCCTTTTACACTATCCTCTGTAATAAAAGCAACATAAAAACGTAGATTCTAAGAAATGATTATAGTTAAAATTGGATTACTTATGTTTGATTTAAACCTACAATAAAAAAATTTTTTGCCCATGTGCGGCCAGCGTAAACAAGCTGTGAACACAACACTGACATTATCATCATCTTCTTTGTTGATATGTGGAACTATCCAGCAACGTTATCATTCATTTGGAGTCGTGTTTCACCTGGTGAATGAAAGGTCAATGTTCACTTTTCTTTTAGATCTGTCCGTTATGTTCACCAGCTAGTCACTAACTTTATCGTGTGATATTTGGTGCTGGGCAGGTAGTGTACAGTGGATTTGAAAACAGCTACCTGCTGAAAACAATGCTTTAACAGCATTTAGAGTGAAACAAAACACAACCCCTTTTACATATAAGTCATATAACTATAATATATATTAAATAACTATAACTATAGTGTTAATATAGAAATACCTATATGTGTGGCTGATGCTCAGAAGGTAGAGCAGGTTGTCCACTGATCCCCATGGTTGGCGGTTCGAATCCCCAGCTCTTCTTCTTGTCCACATGTCGAAGTGTAATTGAGGAAGACATTCAGTTAGAAAGTGTTAACTGAATGTGCAGCCAAATTAAGCTTCTTATATAAGCGCAGGAGGATCCTTCATATATTATATTACATAATCTATGGTACATGCTGCATAAGCCACAGAGGTCTAATCGTGGGTATGATGGAGCTATTTATTTTAAAAGTATATTACCACCATCATTTGTTGGATCTGTGCTAAAACTGCATAAGAACACATGTTTCAGAAGTGGAAAGATGGTGCAGCACCAGAAATTAAGATTTTTGTTCTATTATCCTTAACTGAAGTGAAGCCTGTAAAATACTTATTTTATTAAGTGAGAGAAATGTATCTAATGCCTTGTGAATTAGACATGCACCAAAAGTACTGAATCAACTGGTAAAAACGTATTATTATCCTGTCTGAATGCAGAGAAAATCATATATTTAAGTAAGTGAAAAGTTTTCTTCCATCAGCAGTGTACATATATTTCCCTGAATATTTCCAGGAGTCAATTTAACTTTATTACAGCCTGACCTGTGCATATGGAACTGCATTAACATTTACTGCAGTTTAGAGCATTTCTGTCCGGCACATTTTCTATTTCATTTTAGCATTCCAGACCAACAGACAAAGTCAAAGGGGTTTCTATGTGTTTGTGGTAACAAATGATGGTGTGAAATGAATGGAAAACGAGACAGTCTGATGATGATGCGCAGACTCATATTTTTAGAATATCCAGTCAGGGCACAGCCTATTGGGTGTCAAATAAAAGCACCTGTCTCCATGACAAAGTGCAGCCCATTCTCCTCAGCCCCAGCCACCATCGACTAGACCCTATCTAGCATGTGTGTGTTTTTCTCCCACCAAACCTACTTTATACGCTGGACTTTGGAGGCCGTCTGTCCCTTTTATTTGCAGTTAATTTTTGCCGCCTTCACCGGGGCTCTTCACCATGAATCTTCATTTTGCCGCTGACACCCTTGAATGTGAATTCCTCATTTCCTGTCCTTTTATTTATATCTGTTGCCTGGTGATTTGATCATGCTGGGAATACAAGATTAGCAATTGCCTTGTCCTTGGTTTTGCCTCAAGGACATCTGCTCCTGAAATGTTATTGTTTGTGCTTCTTAACCCTCTGTGTCCTGGCTTCTTTTTTACCTTAGGTCTTGCACTGTGGATGCAAAGCTCTCTCTCTCTCTCTCTCTCTCTCTCTCTCTCTCTCTCTCTCTGTCTGTCTGTCTGTCTGTCTGTCTCTCTCTCTCTCACGTCTGTCTGTCTGTCTGTCTGTCTGTCTGTCTATCCTCTTTCTCTCCTCCTGAATGCATTTGTCCTTCACAGTATTACCTGGGAACAGAGACGAAACTAACAAAAGGGCAATTCCACCATTAAAAATTCACCCATTTATTGTGCCGTTCCACGGCTAATTTTTTGATTTGTTTGTGCATTCATGTGTTTAATCAGACGTGTCACCTCGCAAGACACATAATTAACTTGAGGTAATGATGTCATTATGGAATGAAATGTGGTACCCTGTCTGGGCAATAATACTGTGATTGCTCTAATTATTCTAGCACTGTCACTTATTCCAGCACAACAAATGGATAAACTTGTTAACCGTGTATTTACAGTGTGTAACCAATTCAGCTACTGCATGTTAATACTCCAAAGATTTCTCTCTTTGGTTTAATGTAACAACACATTATGGTGTACTCAATCCACAACTGCTGAGCAGTAATGTTCAAGTGAGATGCATTTAGAATAAAAACTTCCCCTTCTCATACCTTTAACATTTTCAATATACGGCTTCAATTTATATCTCTCCTTGCTCTCAATCTGTCGATGTATATGCTGTTATGCCTTTTCTTTTTTCCAACACTGGCTGTCACGTCATCTCTATAGGACCGATGAGGTACATTCTATAATGTCACAGTCAGACCCTCTGGAGCCATGCAGGAGCACCAGAATGTAAACACAACCCTTCCCCTACACACAGCTTTGTTTAACTAGAAACATGGTCCCTGTTTCCAATTACCTATAGTACTTCTCAAACGCACCATGCAGCAGAATTCACATAAATGCATTGAAGGCAGCATGTTTTATTGCTGTATTTTATTGAAGAAACGATGAAGAAGAAGTTCCATTGTTGTGATTTGTGTTCTTTTTGTGATCCTTTTTTTTGTATTTTTGAGCTTCAGTGTGCATTTTCCCCACTTCACTTGAGGTTGTTGTGTATTCTCCAGTGCCGCCCTTGAGTTTGGTAGAACAAAGTGGGCTTTTTTTTGTTATTCATGTTTATGTTCATATTTTGTTTTTTATTAAGACGTTTCGAATGCCTGCACGCTATACAGCATTTTTTTTTTAATTCCCGAAGGCCTTTGTTTTATAGTGCAAGATCAATGCATTATTTGGGCTGCGTTATTCCTCAAGGTGACTACATGTTAAAGCTGCCCCAGAAACACAAAAGAACATTTTTCTTGTTTTTGTTATTTAAGATCAAGATCAATTTTCCATTTTTACAGCAGTGGGGAGGAACAGGGATAATGGAGTTGGGTGGGAGGGAGGAGAGACATTAGCTTTGTTTAATTAAGTCTGCTGCGTTGGAATTGTGTATTGGTGAAAGGTCGGAGATAGAAGGAAAAGAACACTGTCACTTTGTTTAAACAGCATGTTTTGATATTAAACTTATTCTATAGGCTGGGTTGTAGCATCTGTCCAAAGATATCCATCTATTTCTTAGTCTGTTTTCGTCCTCTTTGTCTACCTTTCACATGCACCTTTTTTAGTTTCTTTTTAATTAGTAACTTGCCGTCTGCTCCTCTCTTCTCCTCTCCTCCGCTACTTTCCTTTTCATCCCTCCCATCTCTCCACCTTCTCTACTTCCAATTTGTTTCCTCCTCCTCCTCCTCCTTCTCCTCCTCTCACCGGTCGCCCGGTCTTTCGGTCGTCGGGGTAATCACTCCCTTCAGTGTCAGCAGGGTGCGGAGTTATTGTCTCCTGTAATTAACTGGTTATCAAACAAGAACATTTCATTAAGGTACAATTAGGGGCTAATTCAGGCGGGACACCTCTGTGTCAGGATTACGATAGAGGCATATGCTCTCCCCTTGCAGCTTTGTTATTTTTAATTCATACTGACCTGCAGCCTCTGACGGCTTCAATTGCTAATGAATCCACTCACTTTGGAATAATTAGACATCCTTAGGCATGGTAATTTATTTAAAAGTATCCGTCATTGCGCAAATCATTAGCTGTGTTAAATTAATTTGAAATTAAAGCTTCTGGGAGTAGTTTGGCGTTCATTAAAGAGGCGGCCATGGATCTATCAATATTTAAGGGGTGAGGGGTAAGGTTGTCACTTTTTCTTTTTGTTTTTTTACAAGAACTGTAAATCTTAATGGGGATTATCTGCTTTTATTATGAAAATCTGTGGTTTGTTCCTGTATTTTTGAGTTCCTAATTCAATGCAGCCTTGTTCCAAAATATCTCAATGTATATCAGGGAAGGGAAATAATAATAATATTGTAAATAGGGATGAGTGAGAGGATAAACATCAGCTGTTTGAGCAAGAGATTGTATCCGTCTTCATCCCGGTTTGTTTGCTGTTCTTCGTGTATGTCTGTTTGTTTATTGACTGTGTTAGCAGCTGCCAGCCTATGTGCATTTGGCAACACATGAATGCTTAATGGTTATTCTACCCCACCTCTTTGAAAGAAATGACCCCGTCCATGGAGCCACAGAGAGTCTCTCACTGAGGATCAGTAATTACCCACTGCGTTCACGCACACAAACACACACATTCTCCTTCATATTAAAATGCTCCAGAGAGGAGCTGAGATCTGAGTCTTCCTCATCGATTTAAGGATGGACTTTTTTGTGACTTGTTTTCCCTGCATCAAAAAGGCAATGGCAGCTATAAAGAGCTTGGAGTGACATGTGATGACATTAACTCGAATTCCCTGTCTTAACGCATCATTTGAGGTTCATTCAGGAGGCTTGAGATTGCCTCTTTGCTAATGCTGTTTTGAATTCTTTCTGGTTTTTTTCTTCCTCATCTGAATGATTTGCTGGGACATCAGCTCTGATTAAGAGATGAGCAACAGCCTTAATAGAGGAAGAGGCTGAAAAGCAGTACACAAAATGGCAAACAGCTTCTCACTCCTCATTTAGCTCCATAATATTTCAAACTCCATTTTAATATTATTGTGCACAGTCTTTCTTGGTATTTCATTCTGGATATTTTGGAGGAATAAACGCTTCAAACGCGGCAACATCATGCAGATGGTCAAATCTCCTTGACTTGATAACAGCAATGAAAGCATTTGATATGTTTTTCATCGCAGAGCACACTGCCGGGTCACACAATCTTACCATGACTCCCAAAATCTCATCCACCAGTCAGTGTGGACCACAGGGTCATTTTAGCCTTTGGCATCACCTTGTAATCAATCGTTGTTGTTGTTGTGTTTGCTCCTGCAGAGCTACAAGAGGAAAACAGAGGCTGCTAAGAAGGAGTACCTGAAAGCCCTGGCCGCCTACAGAGCCAGTCTGGTTTCCAAGGTAACCATTGGGGTCACATCTTTGATATACATGGGTCAGCGGTGATATAAGGGATGATAAATTAGACAGAATTCCACTCACTCTTATTCCAAGGAAAGGGTCCACTTGCTGCATGGAGAGGTTAGTATGTTTGTGCAAATGCATGTGTGTGTGTGTGTGTGTGCTCAAAGGAGAACAGTGAAAATTAGGCCTCAAACACACCCAATTTGCAACCTGGGGAGAAATGAAAAGTAACAGTACACGGTCTGTGTGTATGTGTGTATGTGTGTGTGTGTGTGCTCACATCAGTGTGCACATGTAAGAATAGAAGTGGACATTACCTATCATTTGCTGTCCTCCTGGTGCTTCTGTCCTCCCTGATGGGCCACTAATGTGTTGGCTGAGGTTTGCTCACACTTACTGCTCTCTCTTTGCTGCACGTTACTCCAGTTTAGCCCAGAACACCAACACCTTTTTCCCTGTGTTTGTATAAAAACCCATTGCTGGATTGTAAAAGTTCAATTTTTTAAAAGCTGTTATAATACTCTGCCCCCTAACTCTTCTTACATCTGCAGGGCTTACACAATAGTTATCACAGGACAGGGGTGTTTCAATCCGTTGGTGTACTGCATTTCATTTTCAGTGCCTCTGCATTGTTTTCAAAAACACAACTCTAAATTGCATTAGCATATACCAAGCTCCTCCTCTTCCCCCTCCCTCTCCCCGTCCTACTTCCTCCCCTCCGCAGAGCGCCACACTTCCTCTCATGCTCATGGGCCGAAAACAAGCACCTTGATTAAGGCATGAATAGTTAATTCATCAGCCTCTTCACTGTGGCATACTTTCAACTAAAAAGACTATTCCCATCTCTTGTCTTTGGTGCAATTAGACATTCATGTCAGAGCTCGTATACAGAGGCTTGATTGATACTATATGTTGGTAGATTGCCAGTCAAAAAACTGACTGACAAAAATAAACCTGCGACCCCCCCTCAGTCATTCAAGACCAGCCAATCTGAATGCAGGGCTGAATCTCATGATTCAACGCCACTCTCTTTTTTAATTACCAATGAGGGAGTCTTTTCAAAGTGAATTGGGGTGGGTGGAATTGAAGGTAATTGGAGTATCATTTGAAGGATTCACATCTCCAGCATCTCTAGCGTGCACCTGTTGCCTTTTTGTTGTGTGACGCATGTCGGTTTGTTTGGGAGAAGAAGAAAAAACAAAAGTTTGATTGCTTCCCACTGTATGTCATGCCACTTCTCTTTTATTCATTTGAATTAAAAAAAACACTCTAAGTACAGAATGTGATTTTAAGTCTTAATTAAAAAAAGTCACAGTATGTTGTAAATTTCACAGATTTCATGATTTCATAATAGTTTCAAACCTCATAATAATATATTATATATATAATAATCTCATTTAACACATATACTGTTCTTATATTTTCTCTGATGAATATGAAATAAATACATTTTTAAAATATTCCCTTAAAATAAAACACAGTTCAACAAATCACACCGATCCTTTCACTCTTCCCCTCTCCCCTCACACCATTTCTTCAGTATTTCATTTTCTACTTGACCCTGCAAATGTATCCGTCCCTCTCTTTTATCCATCCCTCCATCTCGTCCCATTGATTATTTCAGGGGTTCAGAGGGATGGATGTGAGCCATTACTAAATAGCAGACCAGCACACATCACTCCAGCCAGTCTGACAGTTAATGAGAAACACTGGATGTATTTCATACATACACCACCTCATGAAAGAAAGGGAGACAGAAAGGCCGGCAGAATAAGTGTGTGTGTGTGTGTGTGTGTGTGTGTGTGTGTGTGTGTGCCCGCCCGCGCGTGTGCGTGTGTGTGCATGTGTGCGCGCGCGTGTGTGTGTGCGCGTGTCAGGTCTTCAAGCATCAACAGTGATTTCTGTAAATTTTCATAAATAAAGAGTAGAGGAACAGACGGGTGACCATGTATAGCATTATCCACAATAGCTAAACATACTATAAGTAGGCAATGAATAGTATAGAATCAGTGCACATTGTTACTATTTACGACCACATTTTTACATCAAATAAACATTTCTTAGAAAAAGGAGCTAAGTCACTTTCACTTTATTTCATGAAGTTATTTAAATTGTCTTTGAATTTGAAGATGCCAGCTGCTCCTTTTCTTTTGCTTCATTGACATATTGTTTTGAAAAATTCCCCTGAGAGGGTTGTTTCTGTGGGAATGAGGAGGTGTTATCATTTAGCAGCCATCAACTCCATCAGCTGTACTATGCACGCTCATAGCTTTCTTAGACTATATTTGCATACTACAATTGCACATAGTATTAATATGTTCTAAGCAATTTGAACACAGGGTCACAATACTGGCCATACTGTTTGTTTCCGCATTTCAATAAGGAACTGCAATACATATTCAAAAATCTTTTCAGATTGGGTCTTATTTTTGGAGCTTTGGCCATCAATTGTAGTGGTTATGATAGCATGGTATTCATCAAATAAATCTGGGAACATGAAAACATCAATATAGTCAGACAGGGCAAGAAATGTGGTTGTAAACAAACCAACAGTTTGGTGAGATTATCACAATGAAACACTATGTTTGCACAAAACTACAGGAATAATCCATGTTGCAATAAACTGGAATCTGAAATATCCTTCTCCTCCCTCCTCTCTAGACATATAATGATCCTGTGGAGACAAAAAGTGCCCAAACAAGCCAGGCTTCTCCACATATGATGCCAGCCAACCCGCCCCTGTACAGTGTGCCACCTCCCCCCCAGCCATCGTCGCCCTACCTAGGGCCCGGGGCCTTCCCTCTCACCGACCTGCAGAGCTACGCAGGACACGCCCCTCGCCACACACTGTCGCAGACGCTCAGCCAATCGCAGATGCTGCCCAGCATTAGTGCCTCTCCCCCTTCCTCCTTCCAGATCAGCCCACCCCTTCACCCCCACCAGCAGCTCTCCCTGCACCAGAGCTCGCTCCTCAACCAGCCTATCCGCATGCAGCAGGTCCAGTCCCAGCCAATCATCTCTCACCAGATGGGCCTGCAGGCCTCTCTCCACTCCCCACCTCCTGGGCAGCAGGTATAGTAACAATCTTAGATGCACTTACTGCTGTGGAATAGTTTACTTTTAAGATGTAGGCTTCATTTTCTTTCTTTCTCCAGGGTTTTTCCCACCTCCAGTCAGATTATCAGAAGAGCATTGGGGGTTCCCAGTCTCCAGGAGCCTCCGGCCCTGGTCCAGGCGCTGGAGTGGCTCAGAGCCATGACTGGGACAGTGAATACTGCAATCGGGAGTGTGGCAACCACTGCAGGTCAGTGGAGACAGAGGAGACAGTTTTATTTGCTTCCCACAGTCTGCTTTCCACAATAACCTTTGTTACTGCAACTCGTCAAATCATATAGGCTTGAATGACATTTGTAATGGAGAAAATGAATTGAGTTCAACCAAACAGACATTTTATTTGGCTGTTTGATGTATTTACTCAAAATCGAAGAAAAATATATTGTGAGAAAGTCAAGATTGCTACCTTTTTGATTCAAGGTTTTCAGGTTGAATTTGTCAGACAGATATGGTCCAATCCAAGTCTTAGACCAGAACTCCCTTAGTAATAAGCATACATAGTCATGTCAGACGTCTCTCCCACTGCTTTCACAATATAAGTGTTGTCAGCTCCATTACAGTGAGACAGAGGAGACAGCTGGAGAGGTAATGGTGAGATAATAGAGCTTGTCATGTGTTTGTCAAACAGCAGTAAAAAACAGATGTTCCTACCACAAGTTTTCACTGTTATTGTTTGGCAGGCTGTGCAGTCCTGCAGCACTGGAAGATATTATGCTAAGTCTACAGCTCTCATCGTGCTATAGTACTATGAAATGCTTCATTTATTTACAGGATTTGGTTAAAGCGAGGTAGAATCTTAGAGAATGGGGGTTTTGGTTTAAACTGTGGCCATTGGAGAATGAAAAGTACTTGCAATCTTAGGAAAATATACCTTTGTTTCTCTGTTCTTTTGTATTTGAATCGTTATTTTCTTTACTGCTGTATCTTTGGTCATAATCAAACCTGAGCCTCTGTTTTTGATTTTTTTTTTTTTTTTCTCCCTCCAGTGGCAGCATGATTGGCAGGGACAAGCCACTCTACCTCACCTGAAACTGAAGATCATGCTCTGTCGACAAATATGACACCGAGGAGTCTACTCTCACTCCCCTATCCCCATCCCCCTCACCCCTATCCCCTCAAACCTCTTCTGATGCACACACTTACATACAGTTCACACTTAACATACAGTACAAATACATACACACATACAAACACAAACACACACACACTCCGCCCCCCCAAACACCACCACATCCACCTTTTTTTGTCAGTGTAATTTTTATTTCTCTCAGTTTCTAGAAGAACTTGTGACCAGAGTTTTTTGACTCGATGACTGCTGTCTGTACCACTTAATGTATTAGCAGTCCTCTTGCTGTTTAAAATTTGCCAAGCACTTACGAAACCCCCCTCTCCTCCCTCCCTTTCGCTCCTACCCTCCTCTCGGAGTTGTGTTTTCTATGCCCTCTCCGATAAAGGCCGGGCTGTAGAGCACTCATCGTCTGTGTCACCATCAAAGTCCCCTCAGGGACCCCATCCAGCTTTAATTAGAATAAGAGGAAAAAATCCTCTTCCTCTTCTTTAATCATTTTAATTTTCTTTTGTGTTTTTTCCTTTTTGTTGTTGTTGTTGCTGTTTTATTTATTTCTGGCTTGCAAATTGTTCCTCTTTTGTTTGTTTTTTTGTTTTTTTTTTGCCAGTAAGCGTTGGGCCCTGTACTGTAGAGAAAATATTAACTTCTAGTAGGTTCAGCGCAGGCTTAGATGTTATGGTAGCTTTGCTTAAGGGCCTGCAAATTAATACAAAAAAGCTTGGGTCGGGAAGAGAAACAAAACAAAAAGAATCTTTTTTTAATATTAAAGACCTGTTGAGGTCTACTGAGCTGTCACAGTGTGATTGTAAATATCACTTTTATGGGATCAAATTGGGAATTTGAAGTCCAGATAGATTTGTTTCTTCTTTAATATTACATGTAAGTCATTTTGTGTGTGTGTGTGTGTGTCTGGACGTTAGAATGTACCCCATTCATGACGTGTGGAGTTGAGTGTGTATGAGCGTATGTGCACGGACACACACTTGCGTGCAAGAGTGTTTCAGTGTTCGAGTGTTGAGTCTTTCTCGTGAATTTTAACAGCCTTGTGCAGCTGGATTTCAGAGGAGTATTTCACACTCTCGTTCTTGCATTAAATCTGTGCTCACTGGTGTGTTTTTTTTCCAATAAAGTTCAATCTAAAACTGAATACACAATATGTGTCCTGCAGATCATTAAATGGAAAGAGCCAGGTGAGAGATAGAGAGGAAAGAGATAGAAAAGAGAGAAAGAAACGCTGTGAGATCAAATGAGATATAATGTTGCAGGTGGAAAAAAAAAAATATATATATTGCCTCAAAATGCCCCCCTTCCCCCTCCCCTCCTCCTCCTCCCTTTTCTTATTTTGTCTGACCATAATGTCAATTTTGTCTCCTCGACATGCAGAAGTGAAGTAATGAAATATGTGAATGGAGCCATCACATCCACATTACAGTGATTTTTATAAGTTTCTAGTTGGTGTTTGGTTGTGTTGATCTCATCTTTTTAACTTTTTGTGTGATTAACAGAAATGCATTTTGCTGACAAAGACATCTGTATTTATCTCTTTACTGTAGCATAATTTCAGTTTTAGTTGTTACAGAACTATAACATTTTAAGTTGTGTAAAAAAAACTGCCAATTGTAGTTATTTTATTTGTAAAGCCAGTAATAATTAATATTTTAAATGGTTATCAATATATTGTTTTCACTAGTTGCCCATCAGCCATTTGACAGGTTCTTATTTATGAGAGAAATTAGATCACTTTTTGCTTCTTACAATGGAGGTGTATTTTTATTCCTATTTTATTGTTTTTTCCCTCTGGTTTGATAAACATGATGATGACCACAACAATGATTTTTTTCTTTATTTTTTACATTTTGGGTGCTGCTCCTTTTTTTCCTTGCCAGCAGCATCTGTTTGTGTCACAATGCTTCTTTTATTTCAAACCTGCATAATAAAAAAAAAGTTTAAAAGTGATCAAGTGTGATGGCTGTTAATTTTCTGTGCATACATTTGGTATCTTTTTGTCCCCTTCTCTAATGAGATGATCACACCTTTTTTTTAAAGACATGATAATTGTTGTTTTAAAGATCCACCAACACCCACAACTTACTGTACCTTGCAGTGTATTTGCACTTAAGAGAGGTCACATTTGTATCCTATATTTATATTTAGCTCCAATGGAATTAGCTAATTAGCTATGGATGCAGTCTACCAGCCAGCGTGGATATTGCCAGTAAACTCTCTTAACAAACGAGAGAGCAGATGCGAGAAGACGTTTGCTTTGCTTGTGAAAGTGGTGCATCGTAGGCGTCTAGTGTGAGATAAAGAGAACAGAGAAATGCAATGTGCACACAAACTCAGGCAACCGTCCAAGTACTGATTTTACCCCAATTGCACACAAGTCTTCTTAGAGACTTTCTGAGAGAGAAAGGGAGAGATTGAAATGGAACTGTCACGATTCCTCCATTCAATGTTTAATTCATTCTACGTCTGCCTGCCGTCGCTTCCTCAATACTATTGAATTGCCAAATAGATCATTATTGGACAATTGGAAAACCTGCCACCTTGTGATATGACACATTATATGAAAATCACAGTCATACATTCTTAATGCAATGCCAGATAAAAGAGGTTTTGGGTGCACACACACAGCCCTGTCTGTGTGCCTTTTGTGTACATACAGTTACGTGTTTGTATGAATATGTGTGTTTTTGTCTTCTTTTCTGTGTTTGGGTGTTGCCTCTCCTCTCTAGCTGTAGGTATATTCATGCATACATGGTAACAATATTCCATTTATTCCGTCTCATTTTAGACATTTTCCTTTACTACCTGTTCTCTCTGCCATCCACACATGTGCTGGCAGTCAATGTCTGTAGTAATACTGTAGTAAATACTGCAAGAAGACAGTATCAATTTGACACTCCTGTCAGCGCCCCTTAATCCCATCCCTCGTCTCTGAGTCAAAGTCATGAGGCCAACAGAGAATGAAAAACTACAGTTTATGGTGGAGGGGGCCATTGAGAAGAAGAAAATGCAGCGGTCTTGTTCGTTTCCATAGATTTAAAAAGACCACTGCAGCAACAAAATGGATGACATCAGTAATATCAGGCTGGTTGACAAAGACGAGGTCAGTGTGCCTAGAAGAGAGCAAACTAAGAGTGACTCAAAATCATCAAATACTCAAGGTTTAATACTCAATCAAAAGTGTGATCATTTAATTAAAATATTTTTTGCGTACAATTCTGATATATTTCATGTTTTCATTCAGGTAATTTTTTGCAAGTACAATCCATTAAAACTTGCCTTTACCAAATCAAAATAGAATTTAAAATGATAATTAATCTGTGTTTCCTTTTGGATGCATGTGTTCGATACATTGGCCTTCAGGCTACACATAATAAGTGAAAATACAGATTTTCTTTTGTCCATTACTATCTTTCATCGAGGCTCTGGGATTGTAACCAAATCATTTTATTGAGGTTTAATTAATGATGAAAATTAAGTATTTTAGGATGATGTTAGACTCAACAACTCCATAAAACAAAGCAAGTTCTGCTAAATGTCTTTCAGGAAACTGCTGGCTGCCAGATTATTTATTTAGTTAGTTAGTTATTTATTTATATATGCAACTGATTATTAAAAATACAACCCTGCATGTACAACAGGCTGAGCATGTTTGTAGATGATGAATGTGAGGTCAACCTCAACGTGTGTGTGTTCATTTGTGGAGTCGCGCAGCCAACGGTGAAAAATTTCCATCACCAAACTAGCTTGTAAGATCCACACTTTTTTTACTTGTTGTTGTGGTGAAGCAATGCACCATCGCTGGTTTTCATGTGAGCGTGAATATAAATATGTTTAATCTGACCACATGAGACAACTAGCTAGCTGGAGCTTCGCTGTCCTTTGAGTTTATACTGATGCAGGCGAGAAGGTCAGTGCTTTGGGTGAACTAAAGGCTTGTAAACGCAGAGAGCAACAAACACACCAAGCTTTTCACAGACTACTGTAGCATACAGACAAAACGTTTCAGTTGCAACTTTGGTGTTGCGGTGGAGCAACAAACAGCAGGAAATGTGGGTGGTTTTAACAAGAAATGGGTTTCGCTTTGTGTTCAGAATCAGTTAAGGTTTCTTTTTATGCTGACTGTACTGCACAAAATGGATTAGCACATTAACAAAACAAAATATTGCCTGAAAATGATGTATGTCAGTTTGTTAAATGTACAGAATATATACTGCAGCACCACTTAATTTAGCATATTTAAAAACGTTGCAAAAAAGTTCTTAATCATTTCATCACAATCATTTTGTGTAGAAGATAACTAACTATGAACAAAAACTCTGAAGCAAACAGGGTGACAAGATATAACACATAGCACATAACACGTGAGGCACAAAGCACACTTGTGGTTTCACACCTGCAGATATTTACGTAATCCAGTGTATATGCTATGTCAGCTTTGGCAGCCATTGCCTGCGGTTTCCAAATTTAGTCCATTTCCTGTTTTTTTTTCTGATATTACAAATAAATTAATGTTTAAAGTGGTTACATTATCTTTTAAACAATCAGCAGTGCAATTTTTTACATGCCAAACTCCCCTCAGAGTCAATATGAAACATCAGGCGATGAAGAATTTCTCTCTATGACTGGCTTAAACCCAATTTGAATGTCTCAATATCAATATAGCAACTTTGCCTCAGAGATTACAAGATCATCTTAACATATTATCCATCACACCTTGTGTCCAAAACAACACAAGTAAACTTTATAAAAGTGTCTAATGCAAAAAAATAAAAAAATAATAAAATAAACAAGCTGGCAAGTGGTGAAAAGGGAAGGTTGGTCATCTGGATCGTTCTCTTGGTTTTAGCTTTTGTGGAGTGGCCTTGTGGTTCAAAAGAATCCCCTTTGCTCAGCAATTATTTTTCTATTTTGAATCCCCTTTTTCTATACTCTGCTTGCACAAAGCCAACAGTCAATATCCAGTTTTAGATTTTCCTAATGTTGTTGCTGTTAATGGTTGATCATTAAAAACAGCTTTACAATATTGTTTAATATCTAACCATTGCTATTGTCTTATCCAAACCAAGTAGCCTTAGTTACCTAACTTTGACGTGTCTATAATCAGTATTACTGTATCAAAAATCCATCACATACTTGTACGATCTACTGACAGATTTTCATTGATATTTAAGTCAGGGGACTGTGAGGGGAGAGGAAAACCTTCAGCTTGTGTCTCTTGAAGTAGCCTGTTGGTGGATTTTGAGTTATGTTTAGGATCATTATCCTGTTGTAGAGGCCATGCTCTTTTCAGCTTTTTTACAGAATTTGCTGGTGTCTAGTGGAATCCATTCTTCCCTCCACCCGTGCAATGTTTTCAAAACAGGTACTATGGATTGATGAAGTTAAAATAGGAGTTATGTTTGGAGCATGCAGCATGTCATGAAAAGCACACCTCTCCAACTGTTAAGCATGGAGATGGATCATTGAAAATCTGTGCGTAGATCTTAAAAGAGCAGTGCATGCAAGACACCCCTAGAATATTACAGAACTAGAAGGATGGGGAAAAAATCTCACATACAAGAACTGATTGACTTTTAGCTGGCTACTAAAAGTGTTTGCAAGCTGTGATATCGGTCAGGGGTGGGTTAGTAAGTATTGCCTGTGGAGGGTGCCCAAAGTTTTGCACATGCCACAATGATGTTTTTATTTTTTGTTTTGTTCAATTTATGACATACATTGTAACTATCCATTGTTTGCTGAAAATATTGTGTTTTATGTTCCAGGCTGTGTCACCAAAATTATTTGACAAAGGGTGCCCAAACGTTTGCATAAAACTCTAGGAGACAAAAGAGTGATAGCCAGCCATTAACTCAATAGAATGAGACGATGTTCAACAGATGAGTAAACCTTTCCTGTGTTAGGAAACTAATGAAAGAAAGAACACCTTGAATTAGTGCAGGAAAAAGGGTTGATGACGAGAAAGAAAAAGGGTCTAAAAGGTGAACCTAGAATTATGACAAAGGGGAAGAGTAATGGGAGATGCAGGAGACAGTGAGAGAGTAAAGAATCAGTGTAAGGCGAGGAGAAGATGGAAACAACATACAACATACAACAGAGTTTAGCCTTGAGTATTGAACAAAGGTGTGAGGAGAAGGGAGACAGGTGACTAAGTGCTTCCTGTCCTCTGTGGGCGCGTGGGCGCAGCACTGACT